TTGAGTCAAATCTAATAACCTTGAAATTTGATGAACCCAAACAAACTTTGTCATGCCATTTCTTCCAAAACCACTCCAATGGTGAGGTTTGAACCTCTCAAGCTTTTATTGGCTAGGGCTTGGAAATAAACTCATGAACCCATGGAGTAATTTGTTAAATCTCATTGCCCTTACCTACATGGACAACAAGCAAGACAAGCCAACATTGTATTTTATTAGTTAAGTGAAGAAAACAAAACAATATTAATGATCACAAAAGGAACATAAGTCAAGGTGCTTGGTAATTCCTCAAAAGGAGCAAAGCTCAAAGTAGGGAGGGGAACCAAGAATCCTAGTGTGATCTTGTTGTGAGTGAATCAATAAGGTATGATGAAGGGATCTTAGGGGGAAAATTGGGGTACAGCAGGGACATAGTGATACGCTTTACATCCCTAATTTTTTCCTGGACTGCCCTTTCGGGTCTTCAGTCCACCGGGATACCCTTTTTTTCCCAAGCCTCCTTTTCAGGTTTTCAACTTGCCGGGTGTACAGATTTTTTCATTTTCATCCCTTATTTTTTCCTGAACCCTTTTGGTTCGCCGGGAAGCCCTTATTTTTTCCTAGGCCAATCAACCTAGCGGGTCTTTTAATCAGGCATAATATCTTTTCACTATGTCTGCATTGACAGGGTGAGGAAGGTCGTCACCTTCCATGGTGGTTAGAATCATGGCTCCATCCGAGAAAATGTTTTTAATCACAAATGGCCCTTCGTAGGTGGGAGTCCATTTTCCCCTTGGATCACCTTGTGGCAGTATGATGTGCTTGATTACCAGACCCCTGACTTGATATTCTTGACGTCTGACTTTCTTGTTAAAAGCCTTGATCATTCACTTTTGATACGTCTGACCATGACAAATAAAAATAAGTCTTTTACTCGTCGATCAGATTTAGTTGATCAAGTCGAGTCTAGATTCAGTCGTCTTTGTTCATACTCGCATCCTTCATAATCCTGAGAGAAGGTATCTGGACCTCGATGGGTAGGACTGCCTCCATGCCATACACCAGAGAGTAGGGTGTTGCCCCTGTCGACGTCCGTGCTGAGGCATGGTATCCATGAAGAGAAAATGGTAACATCTCATGCCATTATTTGTATGTCACCGTCATCTTCTGTACAATCTTCTTGATGTTCTTGTTAGCTGCTTCAATAGCGGCATTCATCTTCGGTCGGTAGGGAGAAGAGTTATGATGTTGTATCTTGAATTACTTACAGAGCTCGGTGATCATCGTGTTGTTGAGATTTGTACCATTATTAGTAATAATTCTCTCTGGCACACCATACCGACTGTTGCACCCCAAAATTTGCCCTCCTAATTTCTCTTATGCTGGCTTAGATTCTTGCATTCATCTGTATATATTCCATTAGGTCATTGACATACATTTGCATTCAATAAAGTGCTTAAGGATCAAAGTTCAGTGGTTGTGCGATATTAGGGTTTCGTGACGGTTAAGGCGTTTATGTCCAAAAAAGGCTGGTTTCTCATTCAAACAACAAGTAGTAGAATTAGGATTGTGACCTGGGTCATTGATAATTTCTTTCTTCGTCAAGCTATGAGGCTATTAGAGTTTATTTTCCTATGTGCGATTGAAGCCAGGTTTTTTGAAGTTTGCGCTTTAATCAAGTTCTTTTCCAAGGATTATGGTTTAAGGTTGCCACTTGTGACTATCTGGAATCTCCTTCCTTCAGAATTAAGGACCTCCACCTATCACCATTCCTTGGTTTTTCTTACCAAAACTGGACTTTCATCTGAAACTTTCTTTTAAGTGACAAGTATTTGGTTCTATCCTAAAAAATGTGAACTTGAGCATAAACATCTGTGTGAATCATCTGCTCCTATTTTATGGGATAAAGATTTCGCCGAGAGTATTGAAGCCATTGGGATCTTATTAGGATTATCTTTCAGATTCCAAAGGTACATTCATTGTTGAAGCTCCTAGAGGTTGATTATGCGTTGATACGGTGGAATAATCTATTCCCTATTTCACCAATTAAGGATCTGCATACCAGGATTCAAGGGTGTTTTTTCCTATCAACTTTGCCTTAAGATGCAAGATTCTAGGGGGTAAGCGATGCAAGTGTGAATTATGGTTTCTAATCCTTGGTGTTCAGATCTGATTTGGTTTTCATTTAAGGCGTTCTCTTCATCGTAATCAAGTCGTGGCCATCTTGGTTATATTTCTTTCTGTATCCTCACGTTCATTTCCAATGTGTTCTACGAGGTCATCCAAGGGCTACTAAATCAAGCATTCATTATCTCCTTGTGCTTAAAGTCATCCTTTGATTAGGGTTTATTTCCCTATGCGTGAGTTTGTCGGATGAATTTGGCAGGGCTAATAGTCAAAGGTTCTTCGTCAATGACTAGCTAGGGTTTTCTTTCGACCTTTCTTTGTAAATTGAAAGAGGGAACTTATTACTTAAGTCACAAGCTAGGTGATCGGAAACTTCATACAGAAAATAAATATGGATATACTGGTGCCCACTTTACCGTTGGATCTTTGTTTATCATTGATTCAAATAAATTCTTTCAATTAGCTATGATGTTTGAGGATCAAGATGTCACATTGCTTAGGCCATACAAGTTATCTCTTTAGTTCTCACACGAGGCTTTGAGGTGAACGTGATGTATTGGATCATAGTTGCATCCAAGATTTTGACAATATCTTACTTGAGTTCCTTTAGTTGACTAAGAGTATCTGATCTCATGATGTGTTATATTAAAGGATGCCATTTGAAGCTAAATTTGAAAGGTTAAAAGAAGCTTTTGGAGGGAAAGAAATATTCAAGCCATATTTCATCTCCAAGATACCAAGTATCACAAAACTCATCCAAGAAATATTGAAGAATCCGAATAAAATACAACAATATGAAAGCAAGGTTCAAGATTGAAAATTGGAGAAAATATTAGATGCTTGAAGATTCATTCTAATTAAAGCAAATGAAGGAAAAAATTCAAATCTATGTTTGAGAAAGAGAACATTACATTTCCAAAGCACTAGTCTATTATAATTTCACTTCCTTCAAGTCACATTGCAAGTTCTATTACAAAAATTCAATACCAGATTAGAACTCACTACACCATCTTACATTACATCATTGAGCAAAACACAAAAAAAAATTACACAAAGCTACACTAAATCTATCTTGCCTAAACATTAGCTCCATTATTTTCCATGTTATGGCTTCAAGATGCCAATAATCGGACTTGGCGTTAGGCGAATACAAGGACAAGAAATCAAAGATCTCATTATCAATTCAATTAAAATCGGTTATCATCATTTTGATTGTGCTGCTGATTACAAGAACGAAACTGAAGTTGGAGAAGCGTTTAAAGAAGCTTTTGATACTGGATTTGTCAAGAGGGAGGATCTTTTCATTACCACCAAGTTATGGAACTCTGATCATGGACATGTTGTTGAGGCTTGTAAAGATAGTCTTAAGAAGCTTCAGTTAGATTATCTTGATTTATATCTTGTTCACTTTCCTGTTGCCACAAGGCATATGGAGGTCAGTACCACTGATAATGCTTTGGGTGAAGATGGTGTCCTGGATATGGATACAACCATATCTTAGAAACTACATGGCATGCGATGGAAGGTCTTGTTTCATCGGGCTTGGTTCGCAGCATAGGGATCAGCAACTATGATATCTTTCTGAATAGAGATTGCTTAGCATACTCCAAGATAAAGCCTGCTGTGAATCAAATTGAAACTCATTCAACTGCCAAACAGAAATCCATAACTCCTAACAAATTTCTAACTTGCAACTAACTGTTTCAATTAAACCTCCTAACCATAACAAAATTATGAAAAAACGAAAACTCACTGTGGTAGGCAGGATTTCTTCAATCTCTGCAGAAGAATCTCCAAGAAACATTCTCTTCTGCTCTCATCTTCATTCTTCTCCACATCATCTTCGTGCACTCAATGTTCACCATCATCACAGCAAGCTCTCACAGGTCTGGCCAAAAAAAACCTCATTACAGCTGCCCAAGCAAAACAAGAAGCTCATTTTCAAGAGGAAGCTCCTAACCCATCCACCTGTTAGGTCCTGCATAGAAAGATAGAAAGCAGAAATCAATTAACAGCTCAGCCCAACATCTTATCAACAAACTGCTAACAAACTTCAAGAGAGTTTTCTAACTGTTTCTAACAAACTTCAACAAAAAATCCCAACTGTTTTAACAATCCACAACAGAATTTTCTAAACAGAATTCTAACACCTAACATAATTTTCTAACTAACTCTAAACAAAATTCTAACAACCATTCCATAACAAACTTCACCAAACAGAATAATAACTAACTTCTATAACAATAACCAAAACAGAATTCTGTAACTGTATCCTAACAACCTGTAAATAGTTATAACCAAACAAACATAATTTCCAAATCCGATCTCTTCTAACCAACTCTACAGAAAATCTATATAACAGGGGGATCCAGTTTTCAGATTGACAATCAGGATTCATTATGCAGAAGCAAGGAGAAAAACCTCACCTCAAAATTCTCTCAAGACTCTCTTGAGTTTCTCTCTGATAACTTCAACAACCTTCATCTTTGCATCTTGAATTTCATCCATCTGCATTCATTTTCGTCAACTTCCCTGCATCACCATCTTCCATATCTCAACCTATATTCTACATCCTTCATCAATAATCAATAATTCACACACGGTTCAGTTACAATTCTACATAAGTCATACAAAAAAAAACTCAGAGGAAAATAACTCATTCACAAGATACGATACATGTAACAAACTCACCATACAAAAATCTGAGTCCTCTCTATCTTCAACCTTCGCTTACTCCATCATCAATCTATCTTCAACCTTCATCACTATCTTCTTCTGCAATTTTATGAATCATCATCTTCGTCCTTCATTCTTCTATGAAATGCAACCGAAACAACGTCATTTCCCAAACTTCTCAATAGTCATCACTATCGCAATTCCTCATCAACGCACCTCTAATCTGACACCAACAATAAATCACACGTCACAGCAACAAATTCGAAGAAGAACACACTACCAAAGAAATCAAAGAAGAAGTGGTTTTCAGAAATGGAAAAGGTGAAAGGTGAAAGATACCTTTGAAGTCCAAAAGATGAAGTTGAAGTGTACACACGGTCAAAAATCAGCGGAGAAGGATTGATTCGCGGCTTCGAAATCCAAAAGTTGAGATGCATTGAAAGCGAAGCTGAGAGGCGTGAATCTGAAACGCGAAGATGAAATCCGAGTTGAAGAAGATTGAAAGATTGAGCGAATTTGAGAACTGAATCGTACCGAAGCAGGTGGGAAGATTGACAGTGATGACCGATCGTGATGCCGTGAAATACCGAGTGACAAAGATCTTGCTGGCTGTAGCGTAAAGAAGAAGAGGATGAGGTTGAGGATCCGGCGCCTTCAAAGGGAACAAAGAGGAAGGAGTTTGTTTTGAATTGTGAGGAAGCCAAATCCTTATTTCCTCTTTCTTTTTCTTTTTTCCTTTTTAATTTCTTTTCTGTTATTATTGGTAAAACAAAATAAAGAAATGTTTAATAATACAATTGAAATAAAATAATGATGATGTTGTTGGACTATTCCCTGGATCAATTCGTTAGGTTGTACACCATAGGCCTATAGTGTAGCGCCTTTTTTGAATCAATTAGGAAATCTGAACAAAAATATTTGTTGGGCTTTGACCCTACTGGGCCTAGCACCCAAGGCCTATTAATCACCACACCTCTAGCTTCAGGCTCACACCTCCCCTGATACTCCTTTTTCTTCTATTAGATTTAGGATATTTTTTATTATAATTTTTTCTATATTGTTTTATAATAAAATTGTAAAATCAATACAGACTTGATAGATTTTTAATTAATTTTAGAAATTAATTTGTGATATAGATGCTTAATATTGATTATCAACTCATTGTTATTACTAATTCATCTTGCGAGCTTGTGCAAGGTATTTCAAGAGAGCTTTCGATCGTTTATTTCGACCGAAGAGCATTTGCATTTCACTTTATTTGTGGATTTGAGATTCGCTTCCGACGCGATTTATGTTGATTCACATTACATGAGAAATATACATTGCTTGTGTTTTTGTCTGGATTTTAAATTCTTATGCAGGTGCATTATTTGTGATGTGGATGTTTTCGATGCCCGCATTGCGCATGTGATTTATTTTCACATTGCCAATTTTTGACTATTCTCTTGTTGTTGATGCTAACTTGCTTGAAGTTCTCCAGGTTACTTTTATTTTCGCTGGCTTGCTACAAATTGTTATCTGTTTGCCAAGATTTTATGACAGTATTGAGGAAACTCTCGCAATGTGGAATGCTTGAAGGCTAATTCTTTGACCACTGGAGCGGAACAACTTTCATAGAGTTTTCTCACCACTCGCATGGTTTCGAAAAGGAAACGGACCTTCTCCGTTCGGTATCGTCACAACCATATTTTATTCTTCATTTCCGTACTTTACCGTAATCCATATGCATGCTAACATTAGGTAGATGTTTCCCTTTCATTCATCCTTGACTTAGGGTTACTAATGCACGATAACATTAGGTTTAGAAATAGGCTAGTCTTTCTGTGACTTTCGTCTTCCTGTGACTTTCTTTCCCCTTTTCGCATATGCATTTAAAAAAACAAAAATTTTCTTTTTACAAACTTCAAAATACTAAAAATTTACTGGCGAGAATCATATCTTCGTTAAGTATGTGAGACGATAAGCGGGTTTCATCTCGACCTTATTGTTCTCTTATTATAAGCCTTGGCATGGTTCAAGTCCCAAAGACTCATCTCATAAATAAGTAGAGAAATGACTAAAATCTCTCTCTTGAGATTAACTAACTGTTATCTACAAGCAAAAATACCAACCAATACAAACTCTTTTTACCTTCGGGCCTTTCTTTCAAAACTCTTTTCAAAGAATATATTAATTCACTTCTGTGCTGACGCATAATTCTCCAAAGGTCAAGTTGCGGCAGAAGGCGAAATTAATATCGTTCATTATAAATACAAACAAAATTCAAACTTTTTGTGCGCCCAGGCACATTTTCTCTAAACTTTTTCGGAAGAGCATGTTAATTCACTTCTGTGCCGACGCGTAAGTCTCCAAAGGTCGAGTTGCGGCAGAAGGAAAAATTAATATTGTTCATTAAAAAAATACAAACAAACAAAAACATATAAGCCGAACTACGGCTGCTCTGATTCCTTAAAAGGGATACGTAGGCATCGGGATAGGGCCCGAACGAACACAATTTTATTTTCCCTACATTTTCCCCCTTTCTTTTGCATGCATTTTCCCTTCAGTAGTATAATAAACAGTAAGCATAAATTAAAGACACCCATAAGATAGACAACAAGAGTGGATAACATAGATTACTACGGGCGCGTGGGGTGCTAATACCTTCCCCTCGCGTAACAGACTCCCTTACCCTTATCTCTTGGTCGTTTGACCTTGATTTCACCCTTTTCAGGTTTTCTCGATGTTTACCTTTCCCTTCCTGTGGGATAAAAGACGTTCGATGGCGACTTCATTGTTTGATGATTTTCAGCCGGTTGTTCCACCGACAGATCAAATTATGTCGGATAAACCGCGCCATAACATTCTTGGTCACAGTAGCAAAAGAAGCCGCCTCAACCCATTTCATGAAGTAATCTATGGCCCCTAAGATGAAGCAATGTCCATTGCAAGTAGTAGGCTTGATTTCTCCGATCATGTCAATGCTCCACATTGTAAAGGGCCATAGAGCTGTCAAGACGTTTAAGGGAACCGGAGGCACATGTACCTTATCAGCGTAGATTTGGCACTTATGAAAAGTTTGGGAGTGCTGATAACAATCTGCTTCCATAGTGGACCAGTAGTATCCTTCCTGTAGGATTTTCTTTGCCATGGTATGTCCACTGGAATGGGTTTCGAAAGTTCCTTCATGTAGATCTGTCATAATCCTCTCTGCTTTGTTCTTGTCTACACACCGCAGTAAGGTAGAGTCATGGTTGCGCTTATAGAGGATTCCACTACTGAGGAAGAATTTCACAGCGAATCTTCTCATAAACTTCTTATCATTGACAGATGCCCCTTCGGGATACTCTTGGGTCTCGAGGTACCTTTTAACTTCATGGAACCAGAGTTTATCTGCCACCTCTTCAGTATCAATTTCACAGCAGTGTGCTGGTTCATCCAACCTCTCAATGGTGATTTGGGGAGCTTCGTTGTCCCACCTGACTTTGAACATAGATGACATGGTAGCTAGTGCATCCGCTAACTGACTCTCCTCTTGTGGGAAATGTTCAAAGGTTACCTCCTCAAAGCGTGGGAGCAATGTCAGCACATGCTCTTTATATGGGATGAGATTCAGATGCTTCGTATCCCATTCGCCTTTGATCTGACTTATTACCAAGGCTGAATCTCCGAAGACATTTAAGAACTTGATCCTGAGGTCAATAACGGCTTTGAGACCCATGATGCAGGCTTCATATTCCGCCATATTGTTAGTGTAGTTGAAACATAGTCGGGCAGTGAAAGGGGTATGACAACCTTCAGGAGATATGATTACTGTGCCAATGCCATTACCGAGTGCGTTTGATGTTCCATAAAAAACCATAGTCCATCAGGATCCCTCCTCGGGTCCTTCATCCGGTCCAGGCTCTTCCTAGTCAGTCACCAGCATAATATTCTCATCCAGGAACTCAAAATTCATGGACTGGTAGTCATTCACGGCCTGAAGAGCCAAATGATCAGCCAATACACTCCCCTTGATTGCTTTTTGGGTTGTATATTGTATATCGTATTCAGTTAAGATCATCTGCAATCTCGCTATTCTTCCGGAGAGAGCGGGTTTCTCGAAGATGTATTTGATTGGATCCATCTTAGATATCAACAAAGTAGTGTGGGTCAGCATATATTGTCTTAGTCGGCGAGCAGCCCATGCCAAAGCGCATCAAGTTTTCTCGAGCAGTGAGTATCGTGTCTCACAGTCGGTAAACTTTTTGCTAAGGTAGTATATTGCGTGCTCTTTTCGACCAGACTCGTCATGCTGCCCCAGCACACACCCCTATTGAATTGTCTAGCACTGTTAAATATAGTATCAAAGTTCTTCCTTCAACCAGAGGCATCATAATTGGTGGTTCTTGAAGGTATTCCTTGATTCTCTCGAAAGCTGTTTGGCATTCGTCATTCCACTTTACCACTTGATCTTTCTTCAGGAGCTTGAAGATGGGCTCACAAGTAGCAAATAAATGTGAAATGAACCTGGCGATATAATTCAAGCGTCCCAAGAAACCTCTAACTTCCTTCTATGTATGGGGAGCTGGCATCTCTTGTATGGCCTTTGCCTTTGCAGAGTCTACTTGAATACCTTTGTCACTGACGATGAAACCCAAAAGCTTACCAGACCTTACCCTGAAGGTGCACTTGTTCAGATTCAACCTCAGCTTGTATGTATTCAACCTGTCGAACAACTTTTATAGATGATCAAGGTGCTCTTCCTCAGTTTGAGATCTGGCTATCATGTCATCAACATAAACTTCGATCTCGTGGTGAATCATATCATGGAACAAAGCGACCATGGCATGCTGATAAGTTGCCCCAACATTCTTCAACCTAAAAGGCATCACCTTATAACAAAAGGTCCCCCACTGTGTGATGAAGGTTGTCTTCTCCATGTCTTCAGGAGCCATCTTGATCTGGTTGTAGCCAGAGAAACCATCCATGAAGTAGAAGATTTTATGCTGAGCGGTGTTGTCAACCAGAACATTAATGTGACGAAGCAGGAAGCCATCCTTGGGGATTACCCTATTCAGGTCTCTGTAATCCACACACATCCGTACCTTACCGTCCTTCTTAGGTACCGGAACTACATTAGCAACCCACTGTGGATAGAAGGTGACAGCTAAGAACCATGCGTCAAACTATTTCATGACCTCAGCATTGATCTTCTCTGACATTTCAGGGTGCATATGATAGACGTTCTGTTTAACCGAAGGACAGTCTTCCTTAGTCGGCAGACGATGTACCACAATATCAGTGTCCAAACTAGGCATGTCCTCATATGACCAGGAGAAGATCTCAACATAGTCGTGCAACATTTGTATCAACTGTTGTTTGATCTTAACTTCCAGATTTACGCCGATCTTGACTTCTTTTCTGTCCTCTTCTGTGCCCAAGTTTATTGTCTCAACTGGCTCTTCATGGGGTTGTATAGCCCTTTCTTCCTGCTGTAACAGTCTAGCAAGTTGTCCAGGAACCTCATAATCGTCCTCACCTTCGTCCTCGGCTTTGTTGATCGGATTTTCGAAGTCATAACCGACAGTAGCAAAACTGTTATCAATGGGATCCAGAGTGGATATGGATCTGCAGTATGAGACGTGAGTGTGTGTAAGAGTATATATGTTTTGATAAAGTGAAAGCGGAAAAGAAAAAAAAAGCACAAAATTTATATGCAAGGAACGTCCAATGTTTTATTGATGATATATAAAATGACACATAAGAGCCCTCACAAACAAAGCCAATGTGCCTCGGGCAAGACACAAGGCTGTAGAGTTTAAATTGTTTATTACAAAACTAAAAAAAAAGTAAGACAATTACTGCAGAATAAAAGAAACTGGTATAAAATCCCTAGTTGTCCAGTTACTCGGTCCACCGTTGGCAGTTGGGTAGATCCAGCTGTCAATGTTAGAGTCTTCCTCGCTGTCTTCAACGACATTAATTCTCCGATTGCTGATGCGTATGGGAGGTCCTCCAGCTCGAGCGCTTCAAACAACCCTTTGAGCTCCTGAAGTAAAGCCCAAACCAAACTTGTCAGTTTTGTGAGTAAAATCAGGGAGCTGTCCCCAGTTGGTATACCCACCTTCTTCAACCACTACTCTGGCGTCTTTGAGAGAAGCCATCTTCAGAGGAGGTTTGTTGCTGGTAGTAGTTTCAGTCGATGCCAAGATCTGGGGAACCTCTTCAAAATTCTGGCAAGGAGTCTCTATGAATTCCCCATCCATCTCTACGTATCTGAAGGAGTTGAGGTGGCTCACCATATACTCCTCCTCGCCACGTACAGTGACAATCTTCCCCTTTATTGGATACTTCAGCATTTGGTGCAGTGTAGAAGTAACAGCCCCAACTTCATGGATCTAAGGACGACCTAACAAACAAGAGTATGACGACCGAATGTCCATTACATAGAAAGTGGACTCAAAAGTCTGGGAACCTACTTTGGTGGGGATCTCTACCTCCCCATGCACCATTCTTTTTAACCCATCAAAAGCCCTTACCATAATGTTACTAGGCTTTAAGGTCAAGCACATAAGCCATCACAATCCAACCGATCCAGCGCCTTCTTAGGCAGAACATTCAACGAAGACCTGGTATCTATCAGCACATAAGCCATAGTGGTACCCCTGCATTCGATCGAGACATGCAGAGCATCATTATGCTTCCTCCCTTTCGGTGTCAAGTCTGCATCTGAAAAACCCAGCCCATTATCAGCATTTAGGCTGGCCACACAATCTTTGAATTGATCAGCTGAGGTCTCATGCGGCATGTGTGCAGTCTTTTGGAATGCGATTAAAGCCTTCGCATGGGCCTCAGAACACAACAATAGAGACAACAAGTATATTTTCGAGGGGGTCTTCCCCAGCTGCTCGACCACATTGTAGTCGCTCTTTTTGATTATTTTCAATATTTCCTCTATCTCTTGCTTAGAGGCTTCTATGACAATTTTCCTAGGTGCCTCCGTCTGGGAAAGCTCACCTATAACTTCTTTGCCTCGGGTACCAGATGACTCACCGGCAGGGGTAACAATTGGAGTAAGAACAAGAGTAGTAGTTGAAGCATCAGTAGGAATAGCAGGTGAAATAACAACAGGCCTATTGACAATCCTTGGGGAAATCTCGGGGGAGAAAACCCTTCCACTTCTGGTAATTTTACTGGTCCCGACGATGTTTCCGACCTCGGGATCAGCCTCTTCATTCTTCAGGTCTTGTTTAACCCCATGATAGTAGACATTGGCGCCATAGTTCCAAGGGACAGCTTTGTCTGAGGCGTATGGGACAGGACCAGGAAGGGTGATTATTAGAGGAGCGACTCTTGGAGCATATGTAATCCTAACAGGTCTTCTCGAGGAGACCTTGGAAGGATTGGCGGAAATGGTTATAATTGCCATATCTTCACATGGAATAGTTGGAATCAAAGTTTTCTCGAACAAAATCTCTCTGCTGTCCATCAGGCGTTGGACACCTGTTTTCAACAAAAGGCAACCGGAAGGCAGAGATGAACACACATGGAAACCTTCACCAAAACCCGGAAATAAACCGACCAACAACAAATTCTTCTTAATAGTCATAAGAGGAGTAGAAACTGAAGATGTGCAAAACACAAGAAAGGGGGTTTGAATTGAAAACTTGGATCTAAAACAGCTTAATGACACAGTATTTTTATCCTGGTTCGTTTGATCTCAAACTACTCCAGTCCACCCGTCAAGGTGATTTCGCCTCTCTCCAAAGAGGTCTTAATCCACTAATCTCAACAAGATTACAAAAGCTACTTTAACAACTGTTAAAGTCTTCTTGAGTACAACCATAATCCGGTTAATCTCAAGGATCTCTTTTACAATATGATTAAACAAAATGTGTTGTTGTTTTTCTAACAAAAACGGTTTATCACAACTGTGATAAATTACACAGGTTTATAGCTTAAAATAAAGAAAGAATTTGCTTGCAGCTTGAATATGCGTGGTTGGTGATCTTAGAAAAATCATTATGTGTACGTACGTGCTTTATTTTGCAAGATGACTTGTTTATATAGGCAATGTAATGACGTTGACCATAAAGCATGTTTATTGTCATTAACACACTTTCCTTTTGGAGAAGATCCTGTCTGAAGAAAGCCATTGGAATTGATTCTGTCTTGAATGTTCAGTAATGCTTCAGAGTCTTTTCTCCTTACTGCTGATGACGCTTCAGAATATTGATGACTTGGTTTGATATGTTCTTGTTCAGAATCAGAGTTTACTATAATTGAGCGCAGGTTCTGGTCACCAATCTTCAGCGTATAATCTGATTGCTTCAGCGTGTAATACTTTATGGCTTATCTTTTGATGCTGATCTGATCAGAACTTCTGCATACATAAAATATATTTTTAAGGTGCATATTTGTTCTTTGTATTTATTTATTCTTTGTATTTGTTATCATTAAAACTCTAACCAAGGGTTGTAGAATTAAACTATGTTCTAACAATCTCTCCCTTTTTGATGATGACAAAAACCAGATTTTTCAATTAAAAAATAAAGAATAAAAAGTTTAGAATAGAGAAGAAAAACTCCTCCCGAGTTGATTACTTCCGTTAAGTTCCTTGAGTCTTTGAGCACTAGAGTTTAACTGCGTCTTTTATCAGAGTTTTGTACCTGTTCAAGCTTTTCAGAAGATAGAGGTTAAGTAGTCCAGAATGTTTGAGACTTCTGTCTCAGTAAACCGTTATTGAAAATATCTTACTTTCTCCCCCTTTTTGTCAGTTATCAAAAAGGCAATATAATCAGAGCTAAAAAGTTGATTTATATTAAAAAACAAGAAGCAATGATAAGTAGTCCAAAACAGAAGCAATGTAAAACAAACGTTACAGATAAACAAATTTAAAATAGAAGAGAATCTAAGAGGGAGGAGGAAGGCGTGTGAACAAAGCTTCCAGCAAGCCCTTGATATGGGAGTTAGATTCTTCTTGTTTTCCCAAGATGCTCTTGATTTCTTTGTTAGTATCCTTCTGCTTATCCAACCTTTCCTGGATAGCAACTGTGATACGGTGGGAAGAACTGACTGTTTTTTGGAATGCTGGTTTGTGTTTTGCATTTGTGTTCGCAAAATGTCGCGGTAAGCAAGAGTCATCGCCGACTTTTATTTTATCCAACAAGGAAAGGAAAAAAGCACAAAAAAATTCCTTTTTCGAGATATTTCTCAGGTTCGGGGGGTAGATTATAGAAAGGGAAGGTATTAGCACCCTTTCTATCCATAGTTATCTACGGGTTCTTAGGTACTTGCTCAATTATTTTCAAAATGGTTTTCTTTGTGCTTGTGGGTTTGAAAAAGTTTTTGTTTTAAAACTTCGATTTAACTCTTGCTTCTGTCTTCAAGAGTGTAATGAAGTGTTTTTGAAAACTTTGTTCGAAAAGTGTAAGTGTGAAAAATTTGTTTTGTTTTGAAAGAGAAAGTATCTAAGAACCATCTACCTACTCGAAAAAGGAATCTTTCTATGCTGATTTCCTTTAGACAATGCTATTCCACTATTAATGAGTAGGTAGCACCGTCGTTGGAGTTTGAGGGTCAATTCGAATGAGGGACATACGGTCACTAAAGCAATGTTAGGACGCCTTAGCGGTAACCCTAATGTCTTAGATAATTTGTTTAAGGCAACGATATCCGAGGCAACCATTTCGAGGCGACTATGATCTTTTAGACAAGAGGGTGACCTCTAAAGCGACCTATACTCAATGACCGTTTCGAAGGCAACCAAGTGGGGTGTACCCTAGGAGTGCGCATGTGCGAGTGTGTCGTTTTCAGTTATTTTTATCTTTGTACATGTTAAGGGTGATCTAATTTGATTTTAAGATTAACATTTAGTCTTGTCATGCAAACCCTATTATCAAACATCTAGCAGTTATAATTTGCAAAAATAAAATGCGGAATTTTAAATTACAAGGCGTCGGGTATTTACATCGCCAAAGACAAACCCTTTGAAAAATAAAATAAAGTAATAAAAATAATTAAAAGTCCTATTTAACTATTACAATCCGGAAGCAGGTACATTGTTGGATAAGGAAAAGTAAATCGCGGCGCAAAATTAAATCGGACGCATGATTAGGGTTTTGACCCTTTTGGTTAAAGAAAAAATCTTTTTTAGGTTTTTGTTGTTTTTATTTTAAGAAAGAAAATAAACCTAAGTTAAACAACTAAATTAATAAATTAATTAAATGAAAAATAAATTATTTTTGGAGTTTTTGATTACTTAGGAAAGAAATTAAAAATGATTAAATTAGTGGTTAATATCTAATTAAATCTAATTAATTAAAATTATTTACAAAAATAAATTAAAGTTTTCTAATTAAAAACCTAGTTAATTAATAAATTTATTAAGAAAAATAAAAGTTAAAAATTTGATTGAAATAAAAAATATTTTTTTGTGATTTTATTTAATAAAAAAGGGAATTTTGTGATTGGTTAGAAATTAAATAAAATAATTAAACAATTAATAAAACAAAGAAAATAAATAAAAGAGAGAGGAGTGTTGGGCCTGATTTAGGGGTGTGAGAAGCAATTCTGTAGGCCCAAAAGCGCTGGCCTTTTTGACTTTTTTGGATCTGGTACAAGCATGTTGACTGGCATCTTGATGGACCTTCAATCCCTGGCCATCAGATCTGGTTATTGGCCATCAGATCTGGCCATTGGCCATCTGGCGCTTAGATTGGTGATGGCACATGGTGAATTTGCAAGCCTGCACGCACATTGGAACAACTGAAAAATAATAGCATTGAGGAAGAGGGGGACCTGGGATTCAAACCCAGGTCCTGAAGGAGATTGCACGCTTGCTTTGCCACTACACCATATTGCTTTAGTTGTTAACATAATACATGTTAATCATAATATATTAAAACAAAACAAATGCCAGCAAAAAAAACGCGCAAAATTATTTGAATGGACCAGTAATGAGATGCCACACATCATCCCCAACCTCTCGTCCGTGGCTAAAACACCAGATACCTATACCAACAGACAGAAGTCCGTAACTATAGGCATGTCCATCTCCAAAATTTGCTACAGGCCACAAAAATAAATTTCAAGGGCATAGTTGTGTTCGTCTCACCCTCCCGGTCACAACCATGTCCATTATGGGGGTCAATTGTACCTGGAA